GGTACCTTATATATGTGCCTAAGTTTGTATACAGTTTCATTTAAATATGCTCATTTATTATAGAAAAACACACTCTCTCTCTCTCTCTCTCTCTATATATATATATATATATATATATATATATATATAATGAGGTTGTTTACTTATCAGATAGATAGATATATAATGAGTAAACAAAGAAAGAAAGAAAGAAAGAAAAAAAAGAAAGAAAGAAACAGTGTACAGAGAAATAACTTATTAATGAATATTTCATATACATTTGAACTCGCCAGATATCGCCTCGTTTTGGTTGAAACCTGTCTGGTTCATTCAGTGGAAGAAATGAACAAGTAAAACAAAAACGGTTTGCAATTTAAACAGAATTGCACTTTAAATAGAAGGACATTGCCTTTTCAGTTGCTTGCACCGGACGTGTGTACTTAGAGCATTTTCAAATCCTACATGTGAAGCGTTGGAGCCTAAAACCTAATGTCTCTTCTCAGGTGGTGGCATTTATGAGTGTCGTCAAAATAGATCCCAATATAGCATGACTGGATTGTCTAGGAGACATATCGCTTAGTGGATCAAAGACCTGTTTAAAAACATACCCCGTTCTTTGGCAACGGTAAATTCAATCTCTGTGTCTGGTAGTGCTGAAAAGTCACATAATCTAATTCGGTGGAAGAAACGGACAAGCGACACAAAGGTGAATAAGTCTAGTGAGTATGAACTGGTATGAAATACCTCGTAAGCATGGAAAGCTGCACGGAACAACCTATCCCTGTAGATTGAATAAAGTTTGGTCTAAAATCCCAATAAGGTTATATAGTATGACCATTGCACACCCTGGTCTTCTTCGTTTCTGTTTGTTTCTTGCTTGCTTTTGTTTAGTGTCATATCAACCTCCAGTGGTCATATAATGCCAAGATCTAAATATTTTGTATTTTGGAGATAATAATGGTTTAGTGATATAGTGGTCTTCTTTCTTGATATTTTGCTTATCTTGACTCTACCCACACCATTTTGGCTGTTCCACCCTTCGGCTTTCTTTCATCATTTATATTAAAATATTTGAGATGAAAAATTATCGTTATCGTCTTACTATTCAGACTAACATCTTCGTCTAGGTTTTTATGATAACAATCTTTCTGCCATTGTGTTCCCTGGCCTTCCTCATGAGGCTTTATGTTTGGTAATTTTTCTTTGGAATTTCAAGCCAAACTCTTTCTTCCATCCAGTGGGTCGATTGGTTCCTTTCTAGTTTCCATTTTTAGAAGACGTTTCATGTAAATCGATATTTATTCGTCTCACTACCTGAGTACAGTAAGTTTAAGGCTTAAGAATTTCAACCTTACATTGTCCAAGAGTCACATTGACAAAAGAATTGATTAAAATATATGCAGTTCCTTGATAGGTGTCAGTTCCATCTCTGGGTAGGAAAAATCACAGACTCTGGTTTAGTGGGAGATATGGACAAGTGACAAAAAGGTGAATAAGACTGGAGTGGATTATCTGATATGAGTGAAAGGGTTTAATCCCCGATAATCTAGCCATGCCGTAGGTAGTAATGTCTCATTGTACCAGCAGCACTCGTACAGTGACCTGAAATAGAATAATATTAATAACAGTGTTAATGCTTCAAAAGATTCATTATTTCTCGACTGACCATAAAGGTTAACGTACAACTAATTCTTGTGATGAATGGTACCAAGAGAGAGACGCATTAGAGTTATTCTCGAAATTTAAAGAACTAATTCCATTCAGTTATTGTTCTGGTTCCTCGTTTTCGGCGAAATTAAGTAATAAAGCCGTAATCAGAATTGTTGCCCAAAGTCAATCAATAATTTTTTTCTCACGTCCTAATGATGTCTCTCTTGTGATTCCTGGTTGAGAATTCAAATTCTATTCACCATAAACTGAATTCATAATGAAGTAATTATTTGCGATGGACAAGACAAACCCGAAAGATAAATAAGATGAAAGACGTTTAGATCTGCCCTGTTTTTGTGCGCTGAAATTGGCACCAGGCTGATTAGACGGCAGGGTGAGAAAAAAATGACACTGTTGGGTCGAGTAAACTTCGCGCAATGAAATAGGACGACATTTGCGTCTGTGTGTGTGTGTGTGTGTGTGTGTGTGTGTGTGTGTGTGTGTGTGTGTGTGTGTGTGTGTGTGTGCGCGCGTGCGTATGTGTGTGTGCGAGACAGAGAGAGAGAGAGAAAGCGAAAGTGAGACAGTTGAGAGGAGGAGAGAATATGTGGATAGGAAGTTAGATAAGCGTTGGCAATGAATAATTCTGACTCAAGAAAAAAGTGAGAGTAGAAGTGAAATAAATAAAGCAAGTGGAAAAGAGGCGTAAAGAGAGAATTAAAAGAAATAGGGATATATATATATATATATATATATATATATATATATATATATAGAGAGAGAGAGAGAGAGAGAGAGATAAAGACAAGAAAGGATTCATTCAGAAATGAGGGAAAAGTATCAAAGGCGAAAAAGATGTAAAAACAGGAGCTAAAATAGTGGAAAGTAAAGGAGGAGAGAGAAGAAAGAAGAGAAATGCACGAGGCGGAAAATAAGGAAGACAAATAAATCACTCGAAACCAAAGTGAAAAGAAATACAAAGATTACGAAAGAAAGAAAGAATAAATGAAAAGAAGGAAAGAAGGAAGGATGGCGAAAAAATAAGAAATAATGTGAAAAAGTAGGGTAGAAAAAGAAAATAAGTGAGAATGATAGAGCGAAATGTAATGAGAAAGAAAGAAAGAAAAAAAGAAAGAAAGAAAGAAAGAAAGAAAACGCAAACAAAAATGACAGACTGAAAGCAAGTAAGAAAGAAACAAAGAAACAAAAAAGAAGCAGTTTGATAGAAAGCAAAAATAAATCGAAAAAAGAAAAAATGCGGATTAACAGCAAAAAAGATTAAAACTTGATCTCTCAGTAAAGAAAACCATTTACTCTCAGGACTGGAAAAAAGAAACTAACACATAATAACGAATTGTAATGGCATAGAAAAGGAAGGGAGATAACTCGATTTTAACTGGACTGGAAAAAAACGCAGCAAATTACACATTTATTGTACTCTTTCCATTATGTTCGAAAATCAAAATTTTACTGAAACCTTCCGGCTTATATTGAGTCATTTTTTGGAAAATCTAAACTGCGGTTAACTTTGAAAAGTACACATGTGCATTTTTCTTTCACTATCTCTGTCAGCCTGTCTCTGTCTCTCTAGCTCTGGTTCCCCACTTCTTCTTCTTCTTCTTCTTCTTCTTATTATTATTATTATTATTATTATTATTATTATCGAAAGAACATCGCCTTATTCGGGTTCATCCTATTTACTTCTATTTGCACAGTTCCGAGCTAATAACTCTTCTCAACTAATCGTCTTCACCTTCATACACATACACACATTGCCCTTATGATTTAGCGTCTCATTCACTCAATACTCGAAAGAGGGATTAAATAGCGAACTTGAGAAACCTATTTTCCTGAAAATTTTTTTTTTCAACCAACTGTAGCGCTGATTGCCCGGTCAATGAATGCCGAATGTTTCCTTATAAGGAAACGGCTAATATTCCCATTAACATTTCCAAATAAGGCTTTCTTAAAATTAATGTATTCATGTGCTTTAAATCAAGCCAATGTGAAAGGTTCACAAATCGTTTTCTGAGGTTGTTAATTAAAAATGAGTTAACTTCAGGAAAAGTTTTTGAAGATATTGGAAGCCCTTGAATGTAAAAGACGGCGGAGGTTGTTACAAGGAACACTCCAAGCAAGTAACGATTTTAATGAACATTATGTTATTGTCCCCGCAAGGATTTGTCGATTTATAACGTAAAAGACAAAAATCCTTCTCAAGAAAAGAGAACCAGGGAAAATTTTATTTTTATTTATTTATTTATATATTACAATAAGGTTTACCCTGTACAAGGCCCGAGGTAGAGGGTTACATTGATGAGGGGAAGAAAACGGTTAACTCTCGCTGTTGATGTTGAAAAATTCTAGACGGAAGAAAGATCCTTTTTTATCCCTTTTCTATTTTTGTATAGATCCAAAATATAAGTCCGGGATTATTCTAACAACTTTTCCAGATAGATCTATACCATTTCGGTTAGCAAATACAGTAAATACAGTAAATTCGACTTTGCTAGCTCCTTCGTGGCCAAATCGGTAAAGGCACGTCAAGCTAAATGACGGTTCCGTATAGGATACAGGTTCTGTTGGAGAACGAATATTTTCTGTGAAATTTTCTCGGACATTCAGGCCGGTAAATGTTGTTTAATACTGTTTATTATAAACAGAGCATTTACTTAAATATTTGTATCTATAAAAAGAATGTTAAACATAAAAATGTCTTTAAAAAAATATGTATAAATTCACATTCATCATATGTTTAATTTTGTTAGAATTCTAAAAAAAAAAAAAACGATTTTAAATGATTAAACCTTGCCGAAGAGTGAAAGCAGTTAAAATGTAAGCGGTGTCATGGGAAAACCGCCCTTTTAACACTCCCTTTTTTTAACGGGCACGAAGTCTATGCTAGCAATAATTTCTTAAAAGGAACTGGTAAAAATCTGATACTTTAAATTTATGCTAATATAATTAGGGGTGCTTTTTTTCTATTTCCTATTTTATTTTGTTTTTAAAAGAGATTGCTTAGAGGTTAAAATTAAAGGTTGTCTCTGAAATTAAGAGGTCTTTGCTTTTTTTTTTTAACTGGGAGAATTTTGAAGAGGTGTTTACGTGTTCCATCTTATTAAGGAAAACAGTTACAACCGTTTGATCTCTAACGAATTCTGAACAAAGAATGCATCATACTTAAAATACACTCTATTCTGGAACCAGGTCACCAGAATGGTGCACCCAGTGGGGATCGAAACGGCAACAGTATTAATGGTTTGTAAAAAAAATATTGATAGCTGATATAAGAAGATGACTTCTGAACTGAGGTGATTTAACTCCATTTTCGCATTATATATATATATATATATATATATATATATATATATATATATATATATATATATAAAAGTGAACATTCAAAACTCAGAGGCGGCAGGCTGTTTCATGCTAGACGATTGCGTCTAGCATGAAACAGCTTGTTGCCTCTTTTGATATTGACCACTTTATCTATCTATCTATCTATATATATATATATATATATATATATATATATATAATAAAAAACTTAAACACTAATCTTCCATGGTAATATACCATGGAATATTAGTGTTTAAGCCTTTTTATTATATCCTTACTCTGTCCTGGACATTGAGTTCTACCTGGATTCTTCCTCTTGGAATTTTTATTCTAAAAATATATATGTATGGGTATTTATATATTTTGCATACGTATGTATATTTACCACTAATATTATCTATATATATATATATATATATATATATTTGAATTTTTATTTGCTTAATTATTTTGTAGATTAAATATCACACCCTTCATTTGAATTTTTCCATTTTCTTTCCCAATGCATCTGTTTATTTGCTTCCTATTTTAATATTTTTATCCTCATAATCTTCATTTCCTCCCCCTTCTCTTTCACTCATATCACATATCGTCCCATTTTAACAGTAAGCCTCTACCTCTAGTGGATCTTGGGCCTTGTATTTGGTGAAATTTAGTATACAAAGGAGTTAGTTGTAGCGTCGGATCTCCTGAACTCTAACCTAATTCAATTTTCTTCTCGCAAATAACAAACTTTTCTGAAAGCTTTGTCTTTAAACGTAGTCCCCATTTTAATTAGTTTTTCAGTTGACAAAAATATTTTTTTATTCATTTAGGTTTACAGTCTGTTGGCTTTTTATTTAAAAAAAAAAAAAAAAAAAAAAACATCGCAACGTTTTTACTTTTACGTTTTAATTTCTTTTTCATTTTTTTTTTCCTTTGTTATTTTTTAGAAAATTTCCATGAAACGATTCTTCTGTAATATCTTCTTTTGTGATTTTTTTTTCAGGAAAATTTAACCAGTGCATTATTTTATATTATTTTATTCAATTTCGCCAGTCTTCTGTGTTCTGGTTTCTGTAACTCTCAGTTACTTTAATTTGAGTGGAAAAAAATTGAAGAATTTCAAATTCTAACCCTAAAACTAAACAAACAAAAATGACTTAAATGTTTCTTTTTAAGTTATTCGAAATCGAACCAATCCCACCATTCTCTCATTCCTTTAATCTTTTTTTTTCTTTTCATATTCTGTTCTGTCATTCCTTTAAACGTGTTTTTCACCGTTCTATCATTCCATTAATCGTATTTTTTATCTTCTGTTCTCACATTTCTTCAGTTGAGCTTCTTTTTCTTCCTTTCGTGAACTGCTGAATGGAAGTTTCTTTTCTCTCCTTCGTTCTGTTCTCAATTTTATAGTTTCTTTTTATTCAATAATTGTTGGCGAATTTCAATCAAACGGACCAAAACCTTGTAAAAGAGAAGTAGAATAAAAGAAGATATTAAACGGAAGAAAAAAAAAACGAATAAAAAATTAATTCAATAAAAAATGTAATCGCTAAGGTGAAAGGTATGCGTTGAGAGAGGGGGAAGTCGGCTTAAAATATCTGCTCAAAAGATTGTTTAAAATGTATCAAAGATCAGGTGGAAGTTGCTTAGTTCAAAATGATTACCCAACTCCCATCCAGTTCTTCGTCGTTTTTTAATACTTTTTTTTTTCCGTGTCGAATTCATAGGAGAAGGGCGATTTCGATTACGTCGAAAGGGGTATTTCAGAGCTTGATATTAGCCTAAGTGGGTACTTACTAAGCTTATTTTAAGATACCTAACTTATTTTTGAATTCTGGTTCCACGTGAAACACCTACTTTAAGGTCACTGTTGTGTCACATATAAGGATGTTTATAGGAATCAAAAAGTAACAGTTTAAATTTCTATGATATATAATGATAAAAGAAGGTTTGGGAATTTTCACAGAACATATTAAACGGCTCCAAAATGAAAATTATCTCTGTTAATCATCTGAGAGACTCCTTTCTGTCTTCCATCATCATGGCTGCTGTTAACCTCCAGGAGAATGACTTCTTTCTCATTCTCAGGCTAACATCCTCGGCTGACAAGAATTGGAAACATCATATTGAATCTATTGTTAGGTTTGCTGATAAGAAAGTTGGTTTACAGTTTTGTGCTAGACAATTTTTCTCTCTTGAATTTATCTTACATATTTATAAGTTTACCATTCATCCATTCCTTGAATATTGCTGCCATATATGGTCCGGTGCTCTTGATATATTATTTAGACATTCTTGATAAAATCCAAAGAAGAATCAGCAATGATATTGGCCATGATCTGGCATCTCGGTTTTATTTACTTGCTCACTGCCCTGATGTAGCATCCCTGTGACCTTTCTATAAATACTTTCATGACAATTGCTCGGAGTAACTTTCTTCTTTTGAACCTAGAGTTTATGGTAGCATGGTCTCATCAATTTGCAATTGAACTGGCTAGTTGTATACTAACAGTTTCTTTTTTCTCTTATGGAACTCTCTTCCAGCTGCATGCTTTCGCGCTAACTTTGATCTTCAAAAATGTAAATGCAATGTCAATCGTTATCTACTGTCTTCTAGATTTCTCTTCTATTGGTCTCGCTACTTAGTAATGTTTCTTTTTTTTTTTTTTCTTATTCTTTTTTTTTTATTGTTTCACAGTTACTAACCCACTGTGTTTTTGTGGCTTTACTGCCTTGCTTGGAGTGAAATGATTAAATTAAAAAGGAGGAAGAGAGAAGAACAGTAACTAAAGAACTAATGTAGATGAATTTCAGATCAGGGAGTGAGAGGGATTGTAAAAAGGTAAACATTGTTAAGAGCTACAAAAGAGAGAAACTTGTAGAAGGCTATGATCGCCTAAGCCCTGAAGGGACACCCTACATAGAAGAAGATATCTTCGTCAGACAAAAGAAAAATTTAGTGGATTTAACAATATTTCAATCCATGCTGGGTCAATCAGTATTTAATTTTTGTCATGTTTTCTCTATTATTTTGTATTGTTACCTAGAATTATATATATATAAAAAAAGATTGGTTAGCCGTAGGAAACGAAAGAATACATATACATACAGTAGCACAGTGATTACTAAAAATAGTATGTGGTTGTATTGAGCGGTGAGGAACAAAGTCCATATTTATTAGTAGTATATAATGGGCTCTCCCGTCAGTTTCGACGTATGAGGATCTCACAATTTAGCCAATTGATTCAGTTATAAGATTTTGCGCAATAATCTTAAGTAGCACTTAAAACCGGCTAGTGGTTTACAAAGGAGGTCACATATGGAGCAAGAGTGAGGGCTGGGGGATGAGATCACTGTTAGATTGGCTGACCTTTTAGATCTTGCTCTCGCTTCTTGAAGACGATTCAGGCTAGCAGAATGAAAACTGCTGAGTTCACTAAAACACGTTGATCTCCATTCTACCCGCTGCAAGGCTAAGCGCTCCGAGGGAGTTATGAGTTATATTGACATCTGACAAGTTAATAATATATATATATATATATATATATATATATATATATATATATATATATATGAGAGAGAGAGAGAGAGAGAGAGAGAGAGAAAGTGATAGTAAGAGAGTGAGAATATATAGTCGCATAGTGAGTAGCAAAATAGTTTACAGTTGTACTAAACGGTGACGAATAAAATGCATATTTATTATTAGTATATATCTTTATATATATATATATATATATATATATATATATATATATATATATATATATATATATACATATATATATATATATATATATATATATATATATATATATATATATATATAAATGCGTAGGTATGCAGAAATAGAAAAGAACACGTTGGGTGCATAATCCGGGGTTCCTTAGTATTTTTTGTTTTTATTTTTAAGAAGACAGTGATCCATACAGAAGTAGAGCTTCTATTATAATAGTATTTTTTGTTTAAAAATATGATTCCTTCGCTACATAAGAGTTCTCATGTTTCAAAAACGAAAGACGAAATATCCAAATAATTATTAAAATTAAGTTGGATTGTGGTGTTTAATAATTTAATTCTCTAATAATTATTTGGATATTTCGTCTCTCGTTTTTGAAACATGAGAACTCTTATGTAGCAAAGGAATCATATTTTTAAACAAAAAATATTATAATATATATATATATATATATATATATATATATATATATATATATATATATATATACCCTGACAAATGGACGGAGTGATTACCGAAGTGTCTGTCTACGAAACTCTGCAGTCGGGATGCTGAAGGTAATAACAATCAAACTTTTTACCTGTATTAATTATATATATAATATATAAGTTATGGAAAGCAATGATCAGCCACGTCCTGATGCTACACGCCGTATTGGAGAAGAATGCGATGCAAATCCAAGTCGACATATCTTAGTCTGTTACCATGCCGCAGTAGTGGGGTGCTAAAAGAGAATCGAACTTATCGTACATGCACTTATATGCGAAAATAAAATACAAATGATTGTTGCAGCGTTCAGGCGAAACAGCCTTCAGAGACTATAATTAGAAATTGTGTTTAGGCGAATGAGCTTTTAAGAAAATGAATGGAAACAACGTAGAACAAATTGTATTCGTTTTGATTGCCCGGTAGTGCTAAATTCTAATTTTTTCTACTTGTGACTTTGGGTCTACGGTTTAAAATAAAATCACCTGATTTGAGTTGTTTCTTTAAATAAAAACTCGTGCATGTTCTTTGCCTCGTTAGATTGGGATTTTCATGTGAGTGTCATGCATGGCGCCATCCCAGTTCAGAAATATCTAAGCTGTCAGCTTTATACAACCGCTTTCTAAGAACAATGATTAAAAATTGGCTTTGAAAGAGTGATGCCTGAGTATCTCGACAAAGACAATCCTTCTTTGAACATTATGGATTGGCGCTACATAATCACAACGAACTGTGCCAAATAACAGAAACTACATCAGTTGAAAACTATCAGCATCAACAACAACAAAAATGGATAGCACATGTAATTCAAAGAGAAAATAA